AAAAGCCAGTGGCAAAAAGTTAAGACAGTTGTGTTTCCAAAACAGAATTATTCTGGGAACTACTTTCCCAAGGCCAGAGAGAAATAAAAGTAATAACAGAAGCACAGGTTTCACCTGAAGTTTGAATAGCTTATTTTAAAAGTAAATTTGAGGATATTAGGATACAAACCAACCGTTAATGAGAACAGATTTATTAAAATCATCCTTAAAATTGCCCCCAGTAAGTGCTGCAGAAGTTAAAAGAATAATTCACAAGAGAAAGCTGGCAAAACCTTGGGAGAGGATGCGTTACCACCAGAAAAGCTTAAGACATTCCCTGACTGGTGGGTGCCTACCCTCACCTCTTTGCTTACTTATATCATTAACTTAAATCATTAATGTGATTTCCTTTTGTTTGTTTGTAGTGTGTATGCTTTGATGAAAATAACAGTTCATTTCACTTATTTAAGACACTATAGGGAAACTGGCTAAGCTTATTGCTGAAGAAACATTGATTCCCACAAAGAGCAGAGCATTCTATTACATCAGGATTGCTTCAAGAGAATGAGCCCCTCTCTGTGAGAAGGTACAACAAGATCCAGATACACACTGAACAAATGGGGCTATCCAGTGGCTTCTGCTCTTTGCGATAGTGGTGACATGCAGACAACAACACATATGTGTACCTGCCCTTAGTGTTCCGATCAGTGTACACTTGAGCACCTCATGACAGAGCGACCGAACTCAATGTTGCTAGTTTCTGAGAAAGAACTGTTTAATTTGTACATATTTTAATCTTGTATTTTTTATTTTAAATCTCTGTCATATAGTATGCCTTATTTTAATTGTGATGTTTCTGACATGAATAAACAAACAAACTTCAAGAGAATAAGGTGCTGGTACTAGGACTTTTCATGAATCTTTTTGCTTATTGTTGTCCAGGGATACCACTATTATATTAAGCTGGGAGAGGATTACAATACCTGTAAGGTTCCTTCCATCCTGTTGTATAATACCCAGAATCTTTTGGCATTTCTTTGTTGGAAGCAAAACACTGAATCAGAACTGCTTGGAGCTCTTGAGTGAAAGACAGCTGGGTTTTTCAGATGTCCTTATATGCCCTGACAATCTGATTACCCACAAGAAAAGAATGGCTGGTCATAAATCAAGACATGCAGCTGATTTATCAGAATTATTTATCCATACATCCCATATAAAATATGCATATGTTGATCTATTTACTATGAACTTTAGATTTTCTCAGCTCCTGTTATTTTTTGTTTAGCATTTTGAATACCACAAATTTAAATCTAACTGCATTTTTAAAATGAGGTAACTCTAAATTGTATCTGTTACCCTGGGAGTCTCTTCCTCAATGAAGAATGTTTTTAAAATAAGCTGTGAAATGAAAGTAATTTGTGTGTGTTTAAAGTAATTATCATTAATTCAAAGGTTCCAGAAGAAGCACATGATTTCATGATGGAGTTTGGTTTTCAGTTAGTACATTGTATGAATCTGAATCTTAAGTGCAACTACTTATAGTTAGCAAGCTATGATTTAACATAATGTGTATATAGCTAGTTGTGGCTTCCTCAATAATCTTTGGTTAAACAAACTGTGGCATACCACAGTTTGTGCTGGGCTGCATTAACAGAGGGATAGAATCAAGATCACATGAAGTATTAATACCACTTTACAATGCCTTGGTAAGGCCTCACTTGGAATACTGCATCCAGTTTTGGTCACCACAATGTAAAAAAGATGTTGAGACTCTAGAAAGAGTACAGAGAAGAGCAACAAAGATGATTAGGGGACTGGAGGCTAAAACATATAAGGAACATTGCTGGAATTGGGTATGTCTAGTTTAATGAAGAGAAGGACGAGGGGGGATATGATAGCAGTTCCAATATCTCCGGGGCTGCCACAAAGAAGAAGGAGTCAAGCTATTTTCCAAAGCACCTGAAGGCAGGACAAGAAGCAACGGGTGGAAACTAACCAAAGAGAGAAGCAACCTAGAACTAAGGAGAAACTTCCTGACAGTTAGAACAATTAACCAGTGGAACAACCTGCCTCCAGAAGCGGTGAACGCGCCAACACTGGAAGTTATTAAGAAGAGACTGGACAGCCATTTGTCTGAAATGGTATAGGGTTTCCTGCCTGAGCAGGGGGTTGGACTAGATGACCTCCAAGGTCCCTTCCAACTTTATTATTATTATTATTATTATTATTATTATTATTATTATTATTATTATTATTATTATTATTATTATTATTATTATTATTACAATGTGCTAGTCCTATCAAAGATATAATTCTGAACTATACCTAACATCAGTGTCTATTAGCTTAGTATATATTCCCCACCTTTCTCTTTTTTTGCCCTTTTAAAATTTGTATTCATCACTTCAATGAATAATTGAACTGAATCCAAATTCAAATAGAGTCACAGATTTACATATAGCAATAAAGTGTGATACAACAGAAGCTGTTTCCACTGAATCTTTCTGTGTATAGATTACAGCACACTTTAGGTCCACTTATTGGATATAAGCGTGTAGCCAAATGGAATTGTTCATTCAAACCGATAGAATTAATTTTCCCATTTTTACCTATTAGATATAAATCTATGAACTTATTTTGGTTGAAAATATTTTTCCCATTATATATTCTTATCTTGCCTATGTATTTCACTTATTTACTTATAAAAACAAATGTTTTGTCCATTTGAGGGGGCAAATTTTATTATTTAATTCCCAAGGTGAAAGTGGGTCTACCGGGGAGAAAAGTTTAGTTTTCATATTACAAGTTTCCCATTTTCATGTTATAATTGCTCATAAAGTATACATTTGTAGGAAACTCACAATGTACTGCATTAGGAGTCCCAAAGATAAAAGGAAATTATTTATAAATGTACCTGTGAATATTCACTTTCAAAAGGTATTTTTTAAAACTTCCATTTGAACCACTGACACATGGCTTCCTGGTTTTATGGTGGGAATATCTAACTGTGTCAACTTTCATGCTAAAGTAAATAGAGAAGATGCATTTTTAAGTGGCTGAAGGGAGAAAAAACAGTTTGCCCTCTGGTGTTACCCCATGCATTGGAAATAAATAACATTGTCACATTAAATGTGAGAGGGCTAGCAAAACGATGTAGATGTACCTAGATGGATCTGTTAACAGCACAAACAAGAGTTCATCAGCTGGATTTGTAGCACACATTTTCAGCAGATAAATCCTTGGCATTTAAAAAAAAATTAATCCTACCTTGTCTTTGAATGGTAGGGGCATAGATAAGCTAATGTTAATGTAGTAGGTGCCTTGAGTGCAGTTTCTATTTTTAATATATGTGCTTTGTTTACTTGTTGGCATTAAATTAACATTTGTAGGGTTATATTTAACTTAAGTAGGTCAATCTGATTTAGGGTTTGGGTGGAGTGGACTTGGGTGAGGGACTTTGGGTGGAGTGTGTGCATATATGTGACAGGTGGCACAGAGCTGATGAGGGCTCTATATGCAGTCTGCCAAACTATAAGGGTAAATAAACATCTTTCCAGGTTTGAAGGTGTGTTGAAAATATAGGTCTTGCTTTCATTTGAGGCTTGTGTTCTAGGTTATAATAGATTGGCATTTGATATTTCTAACCTATTTTGGGTTCTTATACCATATTTTCATTCATTCTGTCAAGGAGTTCAGATCACAAAGCTTAATTCAGAGGGATAAACCTTCAGATCTATGCTATAAGATAGGAGGGACAAACAAAGAGTTTAAAACAACTGGTACATACAGAATTTTGAAAACAGGTTGTGGACACTCTCACAAAATGTTTGTCAAATTGGGGTTTGGGCTTATCTAGTATGAGTGACTGCCATTTATTTATTTTTTATAAAATTTATAGGCCACCCCTCTTACCTCAAGGTAACTGAAGGTCATTGTGGTCTGTAAAGTAATGATTCTCTTTCTTTCCAGAAATTACAGTTCCAGCTTGTCTTTTTTCAGGGTAGATATATATACTTATTAAAATAGCAATTATTTATTTATTTTAGATTTCACACTTCTTAAACCTCTTCTCCCCCCCCCCCCATCTCCCTCAGGCAGGTTCTAATTTGCAGCTGTTTTTATTTTCTAAGAATGCTTTCGTACCTTAATGTGAAAGACAAACCATTTTGTAAACAAATATGTTTTTTTAAAAATGGGTACTTTAGCAGCATTAAGGGATTAACTGTTACTTTTCATTCTTTTTTCAAAAATTAAAAAATAATTTTAAAAATTGAGATCTGGTGACAAGCAGCTTGCTTGGATAGAAAAAGTGATATTCACCAGTACATTAGCTCTACCCCTGCTTCTTACATTTGGATTTAAGAGGGAGAGAAAGTTATAAAAAGATTCAAAGAGTTAAAATTTTTAGGATAGCTACTTCTACCAAAAGCAAAGAGCAGTTGTTGAAATGGCATATCACTGAACTGAAGAAATCTCATTTTCAACAAGATTTATTTAAGAAAATATAAAACAAGTTTATAAATACAAATATGCAAAGTATAAATAAAATATCCCATTTTCACATTTAGAAAAGTGAAAAGTCATAGGCTCAGGGTAAAGTAGCAAACACTGGCAACATAAAGTGGTGGCAAGAACCCCAAATTCTGTTAAAATTATGAAACAGTGATTTGCTTAACATCAAAACATTACAGTAATGACATTTCTGGAACATGCCTGTAAAGTGTCACTGAATTCTGTGCTACACAGAAAAATACTTCTTTTTAGTAATTGCTTGTCTGATCCTCAAAAAAATACTCAGGAGGTCAGCTGATTGAGAGGAATATCATGAAAGTTATTTAGATAACTGGTTCTAATTTATTTAGAGTTTTAAAGCTAAATTAGTGCACAGTAGAGACAACCTCCTGATTTTTTTTTCTGTCAATGTTCCAAATTCAATTGGATGAAAGAGAAATTGTTTTAGTTCTCTCTTTTTTCAAAGAATTGAAGAATTGCTCCCAAAGTATAATATTCTTGCATTTATAATTTAAAATACTTGAAATGGGTATCCTGGTTTTCATCATACAAACCTCTCTTTAGCAATCAGCAATCTCCCACTTATGATTCTGTTAAATCCCAACCTAAAACATCTTATGAGAACTTAGCCAGTTGGGATATTTTAGTAGTTGGGCTGATGTTCCTTGAGAATTATTGGATTAGTTCTTTCTCCAATGCAGGAATTCAGAGAAATTGCCCACCCAATCTCCTTGGGTGAGGAATTTTTAAAATGTCACCATTCTAGTTAACTCTGGAAGTCATATTATGCACGAATTTAACTTTCTTTTCAGAGGGAGCCCACATGCAATACAACATACCACAATAGTCCAGCTTGAATGGAATTCAAGTGCATGTCATTCTGAAAAAGGAAGTTGCTGATCCATCACACAAAACTGATGAAAGTCACTTTAAGCTTCAGATACTGTTTGGGCTTTTATCCACCTAACAAGATCCAAACATGTGCCATAGTTCTTCAAGCTTGGATGAAATGCTTAAAGAAAACAGCAGGATTTGATGTCCACATTTAGAATCTACTTGAGTACAAGTTCTTGGACAATTGTCAAATTCTTAGTAAAAATTGTATCTTATATCCCATAAACTAGCAATTTGACTTGTTCCATATCTGTCCAAAGGCTTCACTGAAACTTCATTTATAGCAAGGTAGAATTCTTTTTAAGAAATACCTTACATTGATCACGAGCGTCTCCCTGAAGTGATCTCCCATTAAGAAATAAAAGAAGGGATTAATTACACTACTCAAGAAGGCAATAGGCCTTGTTATCGTGTAAACAGCTTTAATCAGCTCCTCTGTGCGTTTGGAAGGCTTCCAGAACGATGCTCGAGAAGCAATTCGGACATTGCGCATGATGTGATAGGGAGCAAAGAGAAGTGAAAAGACACTCACTGCTATAATGATTAGCAGGAGAGGCTTCTCCAGGGGCAGAGCAGTGGTGAACTGCAAACTGTGGTTTATAAGGGCAGCACGAGTCTTTATGTAAAAAGCCCACATGATGCACAATGGGATTATAAACCCAGTGACTGTCAGGATCAGGCTGTAGATCAGGCTGGGGAGGGCATCTCCTGAACTTGCATAATCTAAGCATTGGCTACCGTTGCTGTTATCCTGAGAGGTGGTGAAGTAGTATATAGGAGACAGTTCCAATATAATCCAAATCCATATGGCTACTGAGAAAGCAACAGCCGTGGTCTTCTTTTGCAGAAAGTGATTTTTGAAGGGGTACTTTATGAGCAGATACCTGTCAATACTTATAAAGGTCAGGAAAAGGATGCTTGTGTACAAATTAAAGAACAGGATAATTCTGTTAAATTGGCACCACATGTTGTTATCTGTTCCTTTGGAATAACTTGACACTAGCCATGGGAGCGTGCAAAGGAAAGATAAATCTGACAGGATTAAGTTGATCAGGTAGATGTTGCCACTTTTCCAGGTCTTCCAGTAGAAAAGGGAACCCAAACCAACAACAACGTTTCCAGAGAAGCCAAAGATGAATTCAAGAGAGTACAGGGTGGTAAGGTAATATTTTTCCAGCTGATCAGATAGTGTCATGCGTTCTCTGGTGCCATTTGTGTCCTGAAAACATAAAACTGGTGTAAATAATGATTTTTTTTTAAAAAAGTATTTATTTTATTGTTTTGTCTTGTGAACAGTTGATCTCTAGGTAGTCTTTACTTATGTTTAAAGCAATATTCATTGCAAGACTGTTCTCAAGAGAAAGAAAATCCTTCTGATTCTCTTATTACTTGGTTTCATAGCATGAATATATAGAACTCTGTTTGTTGCCACCTAGTGGTCATTCAGAACCTTTCATCTATATATTGTAGCTTCTCGGGATCTTTTTTAAAAATTTCCCATGACATATTTGTAAACAGATAAAATTTTAAAATAAAAATTATGGGAGGAAAATCAGAGCCAATAAACGTAGTGACTGAGAATTAACAAATATTTATGATTTGCTATTACCTAACCTTCTGCTGAATTAAAAGGCTGCTTGGAATTTGCAGCTTGAACCTCTGGTGGGAAAAAATGACAACTAAAGCAATGTTTTAAGGAAGGATGCAATATAATACCACCATATTATCAGAGATCTCCATGGCTGTACCAATTAAATGTTAGGACTAAATACAAAGGCAGCCCATGATGCTACCATGGGGTGACATGATAGGAGTGTTCCAATATCTAAGGGGCTGCCATAAAGAAGACAGAGTCAACCTATTTTCAAAGCACTTGACAGCAGGATAAAAAGCAATGGATGGAAAGTAATCAAGGAGAGAAGCAACCTAGAACTAAGAAGAAATTTCATGATAGAACAATTAATCAGTGGAACAACTTGCCTCCAGAAGTTGTGAGTGCTCCAATACTGGAAGATTTTAAGAGGAGATTGACAACTATTTGTCTGAAATGGTATAGGGTTTCCTGCCTGAGCAGGGGTTTGGACTAGAAGACCTATAAGGTTCCTTCCAACTCTGTTATTCTGTTATAGTATACTACATAGTCATTCTGTGGGTTACCTGTACATACACCACAACTTTTAAGGTTATTTCCTTCCAGGATAAAACATGTCTCAGCTGAAACTGATATTAAGAGATATTGCAGGTTTCCTGAGCCAATGCAAATTGAGATAGTCCTTCAAACTTCAGATTTATTATAAAAGAATGAACAGTATCTTTCTATCTACTTTCTATCTACTATCTCTCCAAAACTGTAATTACTCACAGTAGATGTATCTATCTTTCAAGGATTCAGTTTAAATTCTTCATCCAACTCATTGCCAACAACAGCAGGTATTTGGAAAGCACTGGATTTTGCAGTTATTCCAGAAGATACCATGATACATGGTATTGAAAGCCAATAATTCAATAAGAGCTAACAGAATTATCTGCCCTCAAGGGACCCTCGAGATCATCTGTCCGGCATTCTTAACCCTGGGCTCTGCAATAAAGTCAATTGAAAATGTGTCAGGATAATTTGTCTACCGGTCAGATGCAGAAGAGCTCCTTTGAACTCCATCAGACTTGAATCAATTCTCTTTAGTGTTTGGTTTCAGTCAGAATTAATGCAGCTAATTCAGTCAAAATTTAACTCAAGACTAAGGGAAAGGATCAAACTGTCAATTCTGAGATAACTGAGAACAAGTTGATAACAAAAGCCACCATACACAATGCCTTATTTTTGAAAATTACACAAGTTTTCTTAAAGAAGGCAATTCCAGAAAAGACATGGATTAAACTCATATGTATTCAATATAGAACTATCCAATAATTTCATTAATAAAATAATTTCAAACTGCATAATAATTATGACTGAAGAAGCAGACTTTAGTATCAATACTAAAAGCAGAACGATGATTTAAAAAAAATTGTTTACACAGTTGCTTAACATTCAGGATAAGATTGTTGTTCTTAGCTGATACCATTAATTCAAGAATATAAGCATTCATATCTAATCACAGTTATAAATACAAAGCATTGAAAACTTCTCTCAATATTCCAATATTCTAATAATTTGATTTGATTCTATTTCCTTTAAGGCAACTTACCATTCTGTAGAATGGGTATTGTTCTTACAAGATATGTCTTGACCATGTTCTGAGGGATGAGTCAGGATATAATGAAAACAGCCCAAGAGAAGACGCTCTGCCTGATTTGCATACTGGATTGAAAGTGGCTAATGATTCAGTTGTTACTGGAAGTTTATTGGCTTGAGCTTGGTAGGCAGAGCCACTGTAGCAGAAGTATTGCAAAACTCATTCTGAGAACTGAAATAATGAAATAATTATTTGCCTTCTGTGAGCCACTAGAATCTAGCCAAGTGTCCATTAAAGGGACAAATCCATTTATAAAGTTCTGCTTGAGCTAATTACACAAAAAGGTTTTCAATAATAAGAGAATATAAGAACTTTTCAGAAAAGGCTTGTTTTTTTTATCAAACGTGCAATTAGAATAAGAATTATTTCTGTCACTGAGTCATAGAACAAGATGCCACGATACCTAAAGCTAACTACCACTTCCTTATTTACTTTAGCAAACCTTTAGAAATTACCACACCTTATATTCCTGCATTTAATGAACTTAGGTTGATTGCTAGCATGAAATCCGAGATATCTCAATAACTTAAAATTTCAGAAATTATAGTTCAGATTCCATCATGAGTCATCTGTATATTGAACTGGATGTTTATATTTGTATGAAAAATTCTTGCCAAATCACCCTGGCAATGTCTTCATTTGTTCAGCCTTATAGTAACAAATGTCCTCTAACACTGCAAGCTTGAAAGGTGGCTTTTTTTTTGTTGCAAGAATGCATACCTTCTCTGTTCAACCATTGGTTCATAATAAAAGCTTTCTTTGCCATTTGGCTCAGAATTTGGGAATTGAAGTCACATCGTACCCGGAAAGCATCAGCTTATGGAGAACTAGGTTAATGTTAGTGTTTTTCACACTTGGCATCTTTAAGATGTGTAAACTTCAACTCTCAGAATTCCCCAGTAGCACACTGCAGCCAGCATGCTGCTTTTAAAAATTACATAATTTTACTGATATAATTTTGAGATCCTGTAGATAACATCAAAGGATGTTATGAAGAAGATAGTGTTGCTTATCCCTGGCCCAGGAGGTGTGTTTCAACATGCAAAGAGCTTTTAAATAACAATGAAGCTTCAATGCCATCAAATGTTTTCTAATTTCATTCTCTAACTGTAGAATAGTGAGGAGACCTTTATCTTGTATTAATTTAATGCTACAGTGTTGAATTTGGCTAGTCTGTAGCTCTAGACCAGGGGTGTCAAACTGCCGGCCCGCAGGCTGGATGCATCATAGTGAAACCGTGCCCACCCCATTGCCGGCAATGGCAAAAAAGTTGCAATACGTTGTGACACGTCACGTGATATTGCGAGTTTGACACCCTTGGTCTAGACAGTGTAAGAAGCATAAAAGGAAAAGAAAAGTCTTATTAATGGGCCACTTCTAGGAGTAATTCTCACAAGGGGAGAATTACAAATTAGAAATTGAATTATAAATTCAAACAAAATTAAAAATTAAACTGTGATAGGGATAATAGACAAGTTAGTGCACCTACGGACGCCACCTTAGAAACTTCTTAAATATGGGATGAGGTTCACAGAAGTTAAGTTGGAATTAAAACTGTGAAAGTTAGTAGACGAAACAACTGAATGGGGTAAGATATTCCAGACTTTGACAATGAATTTTGAAAAAATTAGGTTTAAAGCAGTTTACATTGAAGCGCTTGTTCGCAAGCATTACATTCTGATTAACACTAAAAAAAATCATTTACAGGTAAAATGTTACTATGTACAATTTTATATGCAATACCTAATTTTATGTGCATTTTAATCACCATCCAGTCCAATGACTCTCTTACATGATATATAAGAAAAAAATAACACATGGTTGAAATATTAATGAGGTAATAATTATAAGAACCCAAACTAAAAGATGTAATATAATCAAAAATAGAGTAAAGAGAATTAAAAGAAATAAATGTGCATTCTTGTGCAGATCATGAATTCAGTTAAAACCTATAATACAATATTCCATTTTGAGCATCTTCCTGAAAGCCAACAAGGAGAAGATCTTTATTGGGAAACTATGCCAGTTTCTATGCCACCATGGAGAACTTTAAAACTCTTTATTATGTGGACGTTACTTTTTAAGCAGTTATTTATTCATAATATTGAAGGCAGCTATCCAGAAAAATGTCACAAGGCCAGCCCTACCCATCTTTAGAAGAACTAAGAGGCACAAGCCCAAAAGTGTATTTGAAGACAGCTACTTGCCAAAGCTATAGCAAAGCTAAACAAACTTAAAAAAATTTAAAAAACCCAAAAAACTAGAACAGGCATTGGCAAATTATTATCATAATGTCATCCTCACCCCATAAAAAAAATCCTACATGTCTCACCTATGGATTTATTTGAAGTCAGCATCAAATGGTGCTGACTTTAACCAGAAAAAGCTCTCAATGGAATGGCACAAGAGATCCTGCTGAGATAAGATGGCTTACACTGGCTGA